GTTATCTTGCTTAAGTTTGTAAAAAATTTTGAAACTTGATCGTACGTATATGATTGGAAAATGCCTTTTTTTTTCCTTTTTTTTCTTTTTGGTCATTAGTATAGGTTGTATTGGATTATATTTTTAAATATATATGACTTTTACATTTTAGGGTATTTATACATTGATTGAAATTTTTTAATACTATTTAATTAAATATTATAATAAACAATTTTACTATTGCAGCCGTCAAGGATTGAACACCGCCCTAGCTACTTAATTTTTTGGATCTGCCACTACTTTCATTATTCTTTCTATCTTCTTATATTTTTCAAATTTTATTGTTTTAAGAGTTTGAAAAACATTTTTTTTTCTTTTGAGATTAAAAATTATTCTAATTCTAAAAATCTATATTTTCAAAATTTTGCGTAACCTTCGCCTAAGTTTGGAGCTTGTCATTACCTTTTAATCATGCTTTACGTATAAATTTCATATTATCTCGCTTAAGTTTGTAAAAAATTTGAAACTTGATCGTGCATATATGATTGGAAAATGCATTTTATTTCTCATTGGCATAGGTTGTATAGGATTATATTTTTAAATGTATACGACTTTTACGTTTTAGTGTATTTATACATTGATTGAAATTTTTTAACAGCATTTAATTAAATGTTAATAAACAATTTTACTATTTCAGTCGTCAAGGGTCAAAGGCCACCCTAGCTACTCAATATTTTGTATCCACCACTGCTCTCGCTACTCTTTTTGTCTTCTTCCTATATTTTTAAAATTTTATTATTTTAAGAGTTTGAAAAACATTTTTTTTTCTTTTGAGATTAAAAATTAATCCAATTCTAAAAATCATTATTTTCAAAATTTTGCATAACCTTCGCCTTAGTTTGGAGCTTGTCTTTACCTTTTAATCATGCTTTACGTATAAACTTCATCTTATCTCGCTTAAGTTTGTAAAAACTTTGAAACTTGATCATGCATATATGATTGGAAAATGCATTTTTTTCCTAATTGTTTTGGGTTGTATTAGATTATATTTTTAAATGATTATGACTTTTACATTTTAGTGTATTTAAACATTGATTGAAATTTTTTAATACTATTTAATTAAATAGTAATAAACAATTTTACTATTGCAATCGTCAAGGTCAAAGCCGCCCTAGCTACTCAATATTTTGGATCCACCACTGCTCTCGCTATTCTTTCTATCTTCTTCCTATATTTTTCAAATTTTCCTATTTTAAGAGTTTGAAAAACAATTTTTTTCTTTTGAGATTAAAAATTATTCTAATTCTAAAAATCATTATTTTCAAAATTTTGCATAACCTTCGCCTAACTTTAGAGCTTGTTTTTACCTTTTAATCATGCTTTATGTATAATCTTCATGTTATCTCGCTTATGTTTGTAAAAAAATTTGAAACTTGATCATGCATATATGATTGGAAAATGCAATTTTTTCTCATTGTTTTGGGTTGTATTGGGTTATATTTTTAAATGTATATGACTTTTACGTTTTAGTGTATTTGTACATTGATTGAAATTTTTTTAATACTATTTAATTAATTATTAATAAACAATTTTACCATTGTAGCCGTCAAGAGTCAAAGGCCGCTCTAGCTGCTCAATATTCTGGATCCGCTACTGCTCTCTCTACTCTTTCTGTCTTCTTCCTGTATTTTTCAATCTTGCTTCTATAATTATTCTTTACTTTTAAGAATCAAATTTTTTCATTTGAAATTAAAAACTTATCGCTTAAGTTTTGTGTTAAAATTGAACTATAAGCTTTTCTTTGTTGCAAACTCTTCATATGGATTCATAATGAGCGATAATGATAGAGAAAAAAGTGAATATTTGAACATATGTCAGTAGAGAAATCATGCGAAGCGGAGATAAAGAACCTATATGTACGGGCATCTCCAAAGGCGATACCAAAAATGCCAAAATGCACCAAATTTTAGTGCAAAATGTCTCCAATGTATCATCAAACTTTGCACCATATTGATACAAAGTCAATTTTACTTTGTTTTTCATTTGTCAAACAAATTAATTAAGGGTATTTGTATCATTTGTGTTATATATTTTTTAATACAATAAATTATTATTATTATTATTATTATTATTATTATTATTATTATTATTATTATTATTATTATTATTATTATTATT